CATATAAGCTTTGGTTAAACATGCACTATCTTCCTGAAAAGCTCTTTTTTTGTTAATGATTTTGGCGGGTGGACAGGAAACATTATTTTTAGAAAAAACAAACTGGGGACTTTCCTGGTAGTCTAGTGGCTAAAGACACCATGCTCCCAACACAGGGGGCCTGGGTTCAATCCCTGGTCAGGGAACTAGATCACACATGCCGCAACTAAGAGTTCGTATGTCAAAACTAAGACCCAGGGCAGCCAAATAAATAAATACTCTTAAAAAAGAAAAAAAGAAAAAACAAACTGAGGTATTGTGAAGGAGGGTGTGAAATTCATATGGGTTAGTAAGAACCATGAAATGTCAACAAAACTTGATCGTTGTGCAGACCCAAATTGGTCATGCAAGCCTCTTCTGTGATATGGGAGGGGGATGCAAACCTCTTCTGTGATTTGAGGGGAGCTGTTTGAGGTGCTTTATAAAGGCATTAGTAGTCAAATTAGTTCTCTCTTATTTGCAAGGAATAGGTGACAGTGATTCACTTCTGTATTTGTGAGTTGAATGGTAACTATAAGCCCAGATTTTCTCCTAGGTGTCTTTTTAATAATGGGGTAGGATCAGCTGGAGAGGTTGCTACCACAATTTCCTGAGGCTTTATCACCCAGTGTTACTCCTTAGGCTTGTCGTCAGATGGACCAGGTCATTGCCAACTTCCGCCCACCTCTCAGCTGTGTGACCTTGAACTATATCACTGAACCTCTCTCAAGTTTAGTTTCTGCTTTTGTGAAACAGGGAGAATCAGTCCTGCCCCACAGATAGGAATTTTTTGTTTTTTTTCTTTTTTGGCTGTGCCTGCTGGGTCTTTATTGCAGCGTGCAGGTTTCTCTAGTTGTGGCCTGTGGGCCTTGTTGCCCCATGGCATGTGAGATCTTAGTTCACAGACCAGGGATTGAACCCATATCCCCTGCATAGAAGGTGGATTCTTTACCACTGGACCACCAGGGAAGTCTCCCAGTTGGGATTACTTTAACGTTTAGGGCAAGCACTCAACAAATGTTCCTAAGCATTTGTTCCTAACAAATGCTCCAGCTTCGTAGCCTCCTATCAAGGTGCAGACATCACTGTTCCACCCCAGGACCACACATTAGGAAGCTGTGGCTTACCTGAAATCACCCAGGTTGTCCCAGATCTTCTGACTCTAAAACTAGTGTTGTCCCAGGCATCACAGCAGAAGTTTAACTAGAGAGGTAGCATGTCCCCAACTTGTGCTTTCTAGACAGTCTTGAATCCATTCCTTTCTTTATTTATGGCTGTGCTGGGTCTTTGTTGCTGCAGGGAGCCTCTCTAGTTACCATGAGAGTGCGCTACTCTTTGTTGTGGTGTGTGGACTTCTCAGTGTGGAGGCTTCCTTGTTGCGAGCATGGGCTCTAGGCATGCCTCAGGCTCAGGAGTTGTGGTTCGCCAGCTTAGTTACTCCTCAACATGTAGAATCCTCCCCAACCAGGGATCGAACCCATGTTCCCTGCATTGGCAGGCAGATTTCCAACCACTGGACCACCATTCAGGGAAGTCCTGGATCCATTCCTTAGGGAGGGACTCCTTTGCCCCACTTCTTCCTCCCAGTTAAAAACAGATAAAAATATTTTAAAATATAATAGTTAAAAATATTGTTGTTTAGTTGCGAAGTAGTGTCTGCACTGTTTTGCAGCCCCGTGGACTGTAGCCCACCAGGCTCCTCTGTCCATGCTATTTCCTAGGCAAGAATACTGGAGTGGGTTGCCAAGCCCTCCTGCAGGGGATTTTCCTGACCCAGGCACTGAACCCGAGTCCCTTGCTTTGGCGAGTGGATTCTTCACCCCTCAGCCAGTGGTAAAATACACATAACATAAAATTTTAACCATGTTTAAGTGTTCATTTCAGTGACATTAAGTACATTTCCACTGTTGTGCAACCATACCATCCATAGCCAGAACTTTTTGATCTTCCCAAACTTAAAACTCTATATCCAGAAAAAAAATTAAAGTAAGAAAATCCCCTCCATATCCATTAAACAGTAACTCTCCACTTATCCCCTCCCCCCACCCTTGGCTACCAGCTTTCTACTATATGCTTTTATGAATTTACTACTTTAGGTGCCTCATATTAGTGGCATCATGTGGTACTTGTCCTTTTGTGTATGGCTTATTTCACTGAGCGTAATATCGTTCAGGTTCATCTGTGTTATAGCATGTGACAGAATTCCCTTCCTTTTTCGGACTGTATAATACCATGGTTTGTATGTTATCCATTTATCCATCCATGGACACTTGGGTTGTTTCTGCTTTTTGGCTGTTGGGAACAGTGTAGCTGTGAACACAGCTCCATTCCCTTTTTCAGAGATGGGCTGAATGATGCCAAGGTTAAAGAGCCCAGGTCGTCAGGAGTCTCCACCCCTTCCTGGCTGAGTGATATTCAACAGTTCCCTTCTCGCCTTGAGCCCTGCCCTTCTCATCTGCACTGTGGAAATGATAGTTCATCCCACAGGGTGGTCAAGAGGATTGGATGAGTGTGTGGGGACATAACCCGCCACAGAGCAAGACCTCAGTACCTCTTACTCTCATCCTTTCATTCAACAGAATGTGAGGTGCCTGCCCTCCTGATGTTTACAGTTACCTCTCAACCTGGCTAGTTCTATCTACTCCGAGAAGTGGACCGAGGTGGGGAGAGGGCCCTGGAAATGGCCCATTCAGATGCAAGTTCTGAGGGGTGCAGTGTCTGCAGTGTTTGTGAAAGCAATAATTTAAAAAGAAGCTGATAAAAAGTTGATTTGCTTTTTATCATCACCGGGAATTGGCAATTCTAAACACTGTCAGTGGAAATTCCCTGGCAATCCAGTGGTTAGGACTCTGCGCTTCCATTGCTGGGGTCACGGGTTCTGTATCCTTGATTGGGGAACTAAGATTTGGTGGTGCAGCCAAAAAAAACCCCAAAACAAACAAAAAACAGTGTTAGTGATGAAATACTCCTTCCTCCAGGCACGATCGCTGCCACTGCCCCAGGTTTTGGTTGCCTCTGATGCTCCATGTGAAGTCCATACGTGAGATGAATCGTGTCTGCTTGTTTCTCTTCTGTTCTATTTCTTTTTAAATATGCCGCATAGGTGTTAGCAAAATTGGCAGCCTAAGAATCCTGTTTTCCTTTATTGTAACTGTTACTACTGTCTGATTGGCATTTTTAAAATGATTATTTGCTCATTGCTATTGTTTTAAAATTATTTAAAAATTGTTTTAGAAGTGTAATTTGTTAATTTGTGTTTTTGAACAGTTTTAGATTTTCAGAAAAATTCTGCAGATTGTAATACAGCGTTTCCACATACTCTTCACCCTCAGTTTCCCCCAGTTATGAACATTCTACCTTAATATGGTCCGTTTGTTACTTCTAATGAACCAGTATTGATACATTATTGTTAAGTAACGTGTATAATTTATTCACTTTTTCTCAGTTTTTCCTTGTGTCCTTTCTCTCGCCCCTTGGCTGTGATAGTCTCTCAGAGTTCGCTTGTGTGTGTCAACCTTGACAGATTTGAGGTCAGACATTCAGCAGAAAGTCCCTCTTTGGGGATTTGTGGCTTCATTTTTTTAAGATATTTACTGGAGGCTTACCGTAGGTTAGTCATTGTATAAGGCTGGGGGATATCGCAGTGAACCAAGGCATTTTATAAAAACAGCGTTTATAAATCATTGATGTTGAGTGTTGGAGTTAGAGAAAGTTGTACGTGCTGAGAATTGAACCCGGAGCCCAAACCCCTGACCTTGCTATTGGCCTCCTTCCGTGGGAAGAGGAGGGAGTTATTCAGGTGTGTTGGAGGTAATAAAGCACAGTTTGAAAAATCAGGCAACCAATTGAAAATTAAAGCAGGAAAATAAGGAGAATAAATTAGAAGTGAATTGGATTCTTTCCGGTGAAGACTAGGGAAAGTGAGTTAAAATCATCTTCACCTACATTTATCTTCTGAGCTCTTTTGCACTTCCTGTTAAGTGTTCCAATGCAACTTACTCTGTCCTTGGAGGTCTCTGCAGGAGTGTTTTTTGTACAATCCAAAAATTAATGGTCGGGGTCAGAATAAACCAGTAACAGTTTCCTGTCCATCCCTCAACACTTTTTTATGGCATGGTGTGGATGCAGCCCCACATCCCGTGTGTGACATGGTCATGGGGAGAGCAGGGTTCAGGGCTCTGCCCTCTTGGTCTGGGATGGCATCCAAATCCTTGGAGCATTTCTGAATCTTGGTTGCCTTACTGGGTAGGGATAATTCAGTGGAGTGACATCTTACACCTTGCCGAGGTTCTGCAGTTGGCTGCACACAACACCAAAAGCTGATAAAGTAAAGAAACCACCTACAACGGAGTGACCGTGAAGTGATGTGGGAGGCCCACGCACAGTCTGGCAGTGTGTCCATCACAGCCCATTTGACTGAGTATCTACTTATGTTCAGGGACCTTGATGCAAAAAACAAAGACATATCTTTACGCACCAGGATGAGAGGACCTAGGGCTTGCTTGCTGACTGGCAGAAAAGCCAGAGTCAGGGCTTATAGGTGAGACCTCATGGTTGCTTTGTTTGTTTTCTCTGAGGATGTAGTTGAATTGGTGTACATTAGAGGACTGTTAGACCACTGCCCAGCACCTCCCAGAGGACTCTGGAAGGATTAAAAGAGGTTGGGTCCGTGAGAGTCTTTGGTGCTCTGGACAGATGTTTGTTGTCGTATGATCAGTGGGCAATACGTTCGTGGAAGTCTCAGGGAGGTGGGCGATTTGCTTTTTAAGAACTTTTTTGGAGAAGGGGATGTTTTGTGTTTTGCGGACCCTGGGGAACCCTGGCAACTTGGCTTCTGTTGAGCGTGTGAGTATTGGTGGAGTCAGGGGGCAGGCAGTGAACCTGCAGAGGACTTTGTGTTTTGCTGGGTAAGGGCCAGCCTCCACTCCCTGAGAGACATCTCCTGTACCCTGGGCTAATCTGGCTCCTTTGCTTGACCACAGAATGTCCTGAAGGAGCACGCGGAGGACGACCCCAGTCTGGCCATCACTGGGGTCCCTGTAGTCACTTGGCCAAAGAAGACTCCAAAGGTAAGACACAGATCACCCACCGCTGGGAAACTGTATCCTCTGCTTTTTCACATCTCCTGTAAGATGAATGTCGGCAGCTTTTCAGGGGGAACTCCAGGGAGAGGCCTGCGAGAGTCAAGATGAATGGTGCTGGCAATCTTTTTTCCTTGCAAGTTTTTGTTTTTCAAAGGGAGATCATTTTCCCTTGCTGTGGAAACTGCAGGCAGTGCCCCCTTGTGGTCACTCAGAAAACTGCGGGGAGATGACACCTCACCTTTGCCTGTCATTGGGTGATCTTTCTTCTTTTCCTCCCCTCTCTCCTTGCTTCTCTGTCTCCTTCCTTCCTTTGTCCTCCAGCTGCTTCATGGGCTGTTCTCTCCTTTTAAAAAAATTTATGTATTTGACTGTGTCTGTTTTAGTTGAGGCATGTGGAATCTTCAGTTGCAGCATGTTGTATCTTGTTCCCTCACCAGGGACCAAACCCAGGACCCCTGAATTGGGAGCACAGAGTCTTAGCCACTAGACCACCATGAAATCCCTGTTTCACCACAGGAAATCTCTGTTTTCTCCTCTTTTCAAAGTTAACTTATTTTCTGTTTCTAAATGGATGCTTGGGAATTCCCTGGAAGTCCAGTCGTTAGGACTCTGTGCTTCCACTGCAGGGGGCACAGGTTCAATCCCTGGTCAGAGAATTAATATCCTGCATGCCTTGCAGTGTGACCAAAAAACCAAAAACACAAGAAGGGTTGATGCTCTCTATGAAAAATCTAATCAAACAGGAATGGACAAAGATGCTGAGAAGAGCAGCAGTGATGTCACTGAGAACTTACCAGGGGCAGGTTGCCTTGCTTAGTCCTCTACATGCCCTGTTTTATTTAGACTCCCACAATCCTGTGGATAGACATTTATGATTTGTTTTACAGATGGGGAAACTGAGGCTTAAAAAGGCGAAGTTACTTGTTAGGTTACTTGGCAGAGCCGAGGATGCAAAGAGGTCTAATTGACAGCGGAGACCTAACTTTCAACCAATACCTGCCCCAGTGTCCCCCGTCCAGAGAAAACCAATGACATTTTGGTGTATCTAGGGTGGGATATATATATATGAACCCATTCATCTATCATCAGTCTGTCTTGTCTTCCTCACTTTCTTGAGCAAGTTATATGAGTTCCAAGAACCTTACTTCCTCGTTTGTAGAAAGGTGTTATACCGGTATCTACTTTGAATACTCATTGTGAGGACTAAAACTAACGCATGCAGAGTCCACAGGGCGAGGGCTGACTCACGGTAAGTTCTCTAAATGTTAGTTGTAACCTAAGCAGCCTTCCTGTTAATGGGTATTTTGCTAATTTCTGATTTTTTACTGTTATAAAAAACACTGAGAGGAACTTTCTCGATCTGTACTGTCCAAAAGGCCATGAGCCGTGTGTGGCTATTGAGCACTTCAGATACAGCAAGCTTAAATTAAGAGGTGCTGCCAGTATAATATATGTAACAGATTTTAAAGACAATATAAAAAAGAACAGTGCACAATACAACTTATATTGATTGCATGTTGAAATTAGGGTTGCCAGATTTTAAAAAGGACGCTCATTTAAATTTGAACTTCAGATTTTCAAACAATTAAACAGTTTTTTAGTTTAATATGTCCCATATATTACATGGGATATACTTATGCTAAAAAAAAAGTTTTTCTTCTTTTCTGAAATGTAATATGGCTGTATTTTTATTTGCTGAATCTGGCAACCCACGTTGAAATGATCATATTTGTGTGTTAGTCACTCAATTGTGTCTGACTCTTTGTGATCCCATGGACTGTAGCCTGCCAGGCTCCTCTGTCCATGGAATTCTCCAGGCAAAAATACTGGAGTAGGTTGCCATGCCCTCCTCCAGGGAATCTTCCTTTCCCAGGAATCAAACCCGGGTCTCCTGCATTACAGGCAGATTCTTTACCATCTGTGACCAGGGAAGCCCGATAATCCATTAAACAAAATGGATTATTAATACTCATTTCACCTGTTTCTTTTTATCTTTTAAAGAGTGGCTTCAAGTACTTATGTGGCTCACATTGTATTTCTGTTGGACACTGCTGTTCTGGGTTATCCTGTTCACCTTTTTTATTATCTTTGATTATCTTTCTAAATGTGGACTTGTTAATGGAGAGAAGGCACCCAGTTCCTTCTGGGTGTTGAATTCTGATTCTCTCTGAAGCTTAGTGGCCATAGAATTGAAAAGGATTTGCCTCCACATCTTCTACCTTTAGCTCCCCAATCTGTGGACATGTGTGGGGTTTCAGAACTGACTTTCCCCTAAATGGGCAAAAATATAAATGTCATTTGTCAGACCACAGACTGTACTTGCAGACACAGCACCTTGAAGTAGCCCAGCCAGGCCCCATGGTTGCTTTGAACCTGTAGAGGAAACCGTGGCTTTGCCTTGCTGCCCACTTCCCTCATGGAGGAATTGCTTCATGGGATGGATTGGGGTTTGTAGAACATGGGCTTTTAAAGGAACCCACTTGACATTGCTCACTGTAATCTCAGAATTAATGGAGGTGTTTAGACCAGCCTCTCTGGAGATCCCTTCAGGACCATAAATGCGCCCTGTCTTCTGTGCTGGAGACCCTCAGCTTTTTCCTTGGAGGACTGGTTTATCAGCATGGGACTATATGGCACGGCTGGTGTCAACATGAGTAGGAGAAACTGCAGCCCTTAGGCTGGTTGGGAAAGAGTGGGTGGGAGGGAGAGGTAAGAGCCTTGGACGTTTAACAGCGCTCATGGTGGCAGGCTTTTCTTTCCTTTTTTTTAATCTCATAATAAATAAGACTCCCATACTTTATGGTTTTCCCACTTAAAGTGTATAGTTAAATGTCTTTAGTATACTGAAAATATTCAGAGTTGTGGAACCATCCTCACAACCACAATCTTCATTTTAGAACATTTTCATACCCCTTAGAAGAAACTCCATCAGCAGTCAGTTCCCCTTCCCCCAACCCCTGGAAACTTTCTGTCTCCATGGATTTGCCTACTCCGGACATTTCATATAAATAGAATTGTGCAGTATGTGGCCTTTTGTGACTACTTTCACTTAGCAGAATGTTTCCAAGGTTCATCTCAGTTGTACATCTATCAATATTTCATACCTTTATAGGGTTGGATAATATTCCATTGTATGGGTGGACCACAGTCCGTTTATCTGTTCATCTGTCCATGGGCATTTGTGCTCTTTCTCCCTTTTGGCTATTGTGATTGATGATGCTATGAATAATTTATGTACAGGTTTTTATGTGAAGTTATGTTTTCATTTCTCTTGGGTAGAAACCTAGGCATGCAATTGGCTTACCAGATGGTAACTGTATGTTGAAGTTTTTGAGGAACTGCCAGACTATTTCCCAAAGTGGCTACAGCATTTTGTATTCCCCTTGGCAGTTATGAGAGCTCCAATTTCTCCACATCTTCACCCAACACCTATTGCCTATCTTTTTTTTTTAGTTAAAAAAATTTTCGGCTGTGCCACACAGCATACGGGATCTTAGTTCCCTGACCAGAGAGCGAACCCATGCCCCCTGCATTGGAAGCTCAGAATCTTAACCACTGGACACCATGGAAGTCTCATATTGCCTGTCTTTTTCATTAGAGCCATTCGAGTTTTTTTTCCTATGAATTATTTGAAGTTAATTGTATGAGTTTGCAAGGGCCAGCATAACAAAATACCCCAGACTGAGTGTCTGAAATGACAGAAAAATTAGTTTTCTCACCTTTCTGGAAGCCAGAAGTCTGAGATCAAGATGTCAGTTGGCAGGATTTATTTCTTCTGAGGATTCTCTCCTTGGGTTATAGGTGGCCGTTGTCTCTGCGTTTTCACTTGGTCTTCCTTTTGTGTGTGTTCTAATCTCTTCTCATAAGAACACCATTTATTTTAACTTTGTTATTATCTCATTAAAGACCTATCTCTAGGGACTTCCCTGGTGGTACAGTGGTTAAGACTCCACACTTCCACTGCAGGGGGCCCAGTTCCATCCCTGGTCAGGGAACTAGATCCTGCATGCTGCAATTTTAAAAAAAAGTCCATGCTGCAATGAAAGAGTGAAGATCCCTTGTGCTGTAAATAAGACCTGGTGCAGCCAAATTAAAAAAAAAAGAAAAAAGACCTATTTTCAAATACAGTCACATTCTGAGGTGCTGGGGTCAGACTTCAACATATGGATTTGAGGACACAGTTTAGCCCATAACATGTATTACACATTATACAAAAAGGAATAAATCATATAATAATGAATATCATGATTCCCCCTTCAACTCTAGAAATAAATATTTCTGGTATAACCAAACACCCGTGTATTCCTTTTAAATGTATGCAACAGTTCTGAGGTCTTACTGAATTCTTACAACGAGGCTGGGAGGATAGGATTATCTTCATGATGCATCTGAAACTGGAGATTCAGAGAGGTATGCTGGTAAGTCTGAGGCCACACAGCTTATGAATCTAAGGTGTTCATCTCCAGATTTGTCCCTGTGCCTGAGGAACTCTATGAGCCGTGGCGGAGGGCAGGGACAGGGGGAGGGGAGGCCAGGTGCTGTATTTATGCGTTTCCTGGCTGGTGGGGTTAAAAAGTTAACAGGAAAGGAAGAAGTAAGTAAACGACTCACTGCCTGGGCCGCCCAGGTCTCTCGATTCCCAGGTTTGCAGTCGGCTTCCTCCCAATTTGATGTAGGTTGGCTTGAAAGATCAAGGGTGCTCATTGAGGCTGTCAGGATGCAAAGTCGGGAGTGGTCCGGGTCTGGCTCAGGTTTCTTAAATAATTAATGCTAAATGATGATTAGCAAGAAATGCTTTGATCTCCCACCTTGCCTCCTGGAGAACAAAGTCCCTTTCTGGAACTGATTAGGTGCCGTGAGGTCATTTCTGATGTGGCGTCTTTCAAATCAGAGATGCTACTGAATCACCCTCGGTCACCATACCCCACCCCCACCCCACCCCATTGGCTGTTTTCACCAGTGGTGATGGATTTGTTTTGATCCAT